CCAAGTCCAAGGCGATATATCTGGGAAATCTTCGAACTAAATGGAGGTTTTAATGGGAGAATCATCTATAAATGTGATATATATATATATATATATTGTAAGATTGGCAAGGCACAGACCAATCCCAGGACCCAGCTCCCAAAGTCTAGGCCCAGCACGAAGTCGCAGCTGCCCCTTTTGCAAAGGGCTATGGCGTAGCCGGGTTGGATCCAAAGCACCCACCCTAGTGGGATTTATATGGGGTGATTCGGGCCGTTAAGGCCGCATATGAAACAACATGTATGTGACAAACCAGGGTGCACGGCGTGCAACTCACACAGGAGAGAGAGTGCAGGCTTGGCACACCTGAAATTAAAGAAAAACTCCTAAGCTCCATCAGCATATGGTCCAGTCAGCGGCCAGGCGTTTGTGCCCTGATCTATGATCCAGGCTTCCAGTTCTCGCAGCAGGGTCGTTCCATGCCTGTCAGGGATGTGTGGTGTTGGAATCCCCGATGAGCATGTAGTGCAAGGTCGAAGCACTGTCACAGGGCTCCCAGGCGTTCCATATCTGGGCGCACCGGCTCTGTATGCCGGCAGGTCGGCACATTGAGGCTGAGAGTGCCAGGTGCCATCCATCTCCCAAATCAGGTCGCCCATGGGGCAGATATCCGCATGCTCCACCGCCTCAAGCAAGGCTCTCCTGCAGACAGGAATTGCAGCATCACGCTGCACATCTGCATCTTCCAGAATTCGCCGGCGTCGGGCAAATTCTCGGTACTGCTCTCGGACTCGCACGTAGGTGTCTTCCATGCCACCCATCACTATAGCTAAGCCTCGGCTCTGTTGAACCTCATGGTAGGCTTCATCCCGAGCAGCTTGAAAACCAGCTTGATACGATTTCTCCATCTTGTGGTTCACGTACTTCTGGACCAAGTAGGCCATGGCAGCCAGGAGCAGCAGGCCCAAAAACATCTTCAAAGAAACGATGTAGGCCAGCAAGCTCAAAAAGTTCGGCAAAATGCCGGTTTGGGACAAAATGTCCGTGGTGTAGGTGCGCATCCCATTGAGGATCGCTTCCGAATTTTCCATCATATCCTTGGACTTTGAGAAGGCAACGTCCACATAGTCAAGCATGTCGTTGGTGTAGACCATGTAGGCATAGGCCTCCGTTGGCAGGTTCTCATCCACATTCTCATAGGTCTCGGTTGGCATGTTCTCATCTTCAGTCTCATAGGTCTCGTTTGGCATGTCCTCATCCACATTCTCAAAGGTTTCACCAGGTTCAGCTTCTTCTTCCATCACATCTTCGTCGATCTTTCGCAGTCTCTTCGGAGGAGGTGCAGCATGAGCATCCATATTTTGCTGTCTCTCGGCAGCAGTCTTTTTCTTCGCAGCCACATAGCTCGGATCCCAGTAGAATCCAACGCTTCCATGACGAAGTCGTCCAGCTAGAAGTTGGCGCGCTGAGAGCTTTGTAAGTCCATCAGCCCATTGGCGCTCACTGCGAACCCATCTGAGCTCGCCTTTGAGCTCCATGACCAGCTCCTTGATGACTCTGATCTCGAGGGCAATTCTCCGATCTGTGACACTCGATGTCACCGATTCTCTGTGGTAACTGTCGTAAAGGGCTTTGGCATCAGTCACCAAAACCGATCGGAGACTGCTCTCCTGACCAAGCAAATCACCAAGCTTGCGGTTGGGGTTCTCCAGGTAGCTGTAGAACTTGCAGATGAAATCAGTGGCATCTGCAGCTGATGCAGCGGCTTGTGCTTCAGCAGCTAAAGACGATCTCGCCACTCGTGGCAATTTCAAAGATCTCCATTCCAAAAGGTGGAGCCAGTCCTCAGTGTTGGTGAGGGTGTGCTCCGGCACGAGCATGACCATGTATCCACCTTGACTGCTTCCGTCAGGTCGAGCGCTGAACGATGCATCAAACATCGTCACCAAACGCAAGTTTTTGATATCACCCAGGGGCAAAAACTGAAGCCCCACATCTGCATTTTCCTTGGCGAACTTGAGGGTGCGGTTCAGTTCGGTGATGGTGCTCACCTTTCCATTGTTGACCATTCCAGAGGTGATCGAAGTCGAAGCCTGCAAGTGGGGTGCACTCTGCACCGCAGGCTACTGTAGGGCTCCACAGAGTCCTCTCAGTTGAGTGATCTCCTTGGCGGTGAGGTCAGTGTTGGGACCGGCGCCTTTCTGAATGGTCACGGGGTGAACTTTTCCAAGGTAAGCTTCTTGATGGAGTTTCAGACCTCCACCAGGAACTTTCTCCAAAACTGAGCCACAGTACTCCAGGCGTTCTCCATCTTTCCATTCTCGAAAGTTGAAAGATGCCCGAAGTCCTTCAACCAGTTTGGCATATGTAGCTGAGGTAGGTGACCCAGCTCCAAGCATGTCGTCGACATGCAGGCAGATAGCGCCGCATAGTCGACCTTCACCAAAAACGGTGCCATCAGTGCAAGGTTCCTCGGCATAGTCGACCTCAAAGGCCAAAAACAAGCAAGGGTCAAGAGGGTGTTGACGGAGACCAAGTTCTCGCAGTCTCCGTTGGGCTTCAATCCACCACATCCTTGGAGCATCGAGCTGCCCATACACAGGTTTCAGCAGCAGCATTCTTGTAGTAGGAGGAGCTCCAAGTAGCTGAAGGCAATCAGCTGGTAGTTTTACCCATAACTTCCTCGATTGATAGCCACCCTGCAGGAAGGCTGTCGCTATGTCTGAGGTCCATGCATTCCAGCCCAAAATGGCCGTCAGGCTCAGCAGAAAGTTTCTGGAAGTCCTTGAGGTTGTTGGTGAACTGGTGTCCAGGCCCTTTGACAGAGCATCATAGTCTTGGTAACCCCGCACAATGAGCCTGGCCTTTGCCCTTGGTGACCCATCGGGATTCTTTGACCACTTTGTGAGTACCCTGGCCGTGAGTGTTCTCTCGGCTTGGGCGTTGTCCACCGTGTCGAACTCCCAGACCTGGTTGTGAAAGAAGGATTCCAGTTCCTTCCGTTTGGCTTCTTGGAACTTGGCACGGTCGGCAGCACAAAGATGTCGCTCATTGACACCACCCTTGTCGACCTTCTTTTGTTGGCGGGCCATTTTGGTTTTGGCCTCGCGTCCAAGTTTCTTTGCAGGAAGGTTTGCAAACATCCCCATCTCCCGACGAGCTTTGCCAGTGATCTGAAAGATCGTGCAGCCAGTCCACTCCTTGTCGATGACCTTGTTGTCAAACTCCTTGTCGCTGATGATCTCAAAACTGCCATCAGCTTTCCAGAGCACAGTTGTGCGAAGTCCATCCAGCAGCTCTGGATCGACTGGAGTGTCCATGTAGTCCTTGAGTTTGAAGAGAGCTCGTCGAGGACGTCGATGATGTCGAATGACACAGCCAGCTTTCACCTCCCAGTAGTCCATGGGGTCTTCAGTGAGGTTGAAGACGCCCTCATCGTTGCAGTGCCATCCGTCAGGTAGATGTTCTCCTTGAGTTCCGGTGATGTCGAAGGCCTGCACATAGCCTTCAGTTGGACCATCAGCATCTCCAGGTAGATCTCGATCGTAGGGTCGTTGATGTTGATCTCGATGACGTCGAATAGGGCCAAAGATCGCAGCTTCTTGTTGATCAAGTCGTTGGCGTTGAAGTCGAAATCGATCTTCTGGTCCAGCAGGTTCATAGAGCCTCGCCATCGAAGGATCAAGTTGTAGATCATGTCCAGGAGGTTGATGTGGTTGTGAAGGTGTTGATGAAGGTTGTAGTGAATCAAGTTGCCGTGGTACTGAAGGAGGTTCTTGATGTCCAGGTTGTTGTGGATGTTGAGGTTGTAGTGAATCAGGTTGAAGAGCTCGTGGATCACGTCCAGGTGAGTTGGGCACAGTGCCAGGATGAGGTGGCTCAACGTTGGGCTCCTCCTCATCAGTGTCGATCCTTGGTGTGTTCGGCCCAGCCATCGTAGTTGGAGAGTATGCCAGGCTAGGAGCTCGGCTTGACCTTGACCTTGGTGATGTATCGAGGATCTCAACCTCAGGGGCCGCATGAGGACCGGCAAAGTCCAATGCCGAGGGCTGAGAGTCCAAGCCCGACCGCTCACCGGTCAAATCCAAGACCGGGCGATCATCCCCAGCGTCCTCACTGAGGCGCCTTCTGGTGGTTGGTGGCTCCATTGGAAACCAGTCATCCCCATCATCACCAGGTCCATCGCCATCATCCATGGCTTCCTCATCGTCGTCGATGTCGTCGATGTTGCGACGATTGACCCGAGACAGGTCAAGAAACCTTGTGACCCCCCTTGAGCGAAGTCCATCGACATCACGTCGTGCTGCATCCAGTCCATCAACTCCAGCACTGATGTCCTCGAAGTTGGGTCTCACATGATGTGGGGCAGCTCGGATGAGCTGAGTCTTGAAGGCCAGCCAGTAAAGGCGTGGTCGCCCCTCATCATCGGTTTCCACCATGACGACTCTTGCAGGTCCATGCCATCGAACTTTGACCAAGTCCGCAGCTCTGGCATCTCGCCAAAAATGGCAAGTTTGGCCAACCACCAAGCTGTCGTGTTGGCTCCTGTACTTCCTCAGCATGGCTCTTCGAAGTTTTCGGTCAGTCTCGGCCTTGGTGATTGCCTGTTTGGCAATGGCACGCTTTTGCAGGCTTTCTTCAAAGCTTTGCTTCCCTTGGAGTTGTGCAGGGCCAAGTGAATCGCCCAGCAAATCACCTGCAAAGCGAGGTTGAAATCCATAAAGCCATTGCGCAGGAGAAAAACCACAAACTGTTGGTGATGCATTGAGTTGGGGCACCACGTAGCACAGGGACTGCTTGAGGCCGTCCACACTGACCATCTTTTGATCTTCCATCCAAACTTCAGCAGCTTTGCGCAGGACTGCATGTCTGCGCTCAACCAAGGAGAGTCTGGTGTGTGCCTCTCCAGGTGCTTCAGTAGACAATTTCGAACAATGCAACTTGGTGTTCGATCATTTGATCGCTGGTCCAATCATGAAACCGATCAGCATTCCAGCCTCTGCCTTCATCTGTGA